CGACATCAAACCCGCTCGTCCACCATTATTTGAAATGAATAATTATCAAAGCAGAAATAATAATGATAACGTTAATTCAACAACATTTATCCTGAGATGTCTACCATTATTCGAAAATATTAGTTTTTAAGGAAAATGGAAATGATAGGTGAAATGTTCATAACGAATTTTTATAATGCAAACATGTTTAACTTCATTCATTCTCATGTAAACTAAAAAACAGTCCTCATCTGCCAATCATACGCAAATACTAGAATACGAGCCCAAAGTTTGTAAAACTATTCTAATCATAAACTTTTTAATAGATTTGTATATCTATCCGACACGAAGTTCACACTAAATGGAACTAAATTGTTAGAAAAATGCCTTAGTTATAACATAAAACCATATATAGGATCTTTAGGTATAGAAACTATAATGAACATGTCGCGGCAAATATTAGGAAATCAGAACCTGTTAATCAAATTCAGTCTAATGTAGAAATGAAAATTGCAAAATTAATTAAACAAAAAGCTAAGGATAATGAAGTGATTTTTAGGAGAGCATATAAAGGTCGAACGGTTATTGCATTACATGTTTATATTTTAAAATATGTTTTTCCCGTTAATCAGCTATCGCAGCCCTACGAATGATAACCCTCAGAAGTCGAAACTTGTGCGAGCTAAGGTCTAACGAGTTCTTACCTTTTAACGTGTGATTCCTCACACGGGTTGGACGATAGCAATTGAAAATCGAGCGTTCAGCCTGGGGCTGGATCATCGACTCACATGTCGGCCGATTGACAGAGTGAACAAAGCACACACGTCGAACCGCCCGGCTACCGACCGACATAAAAGTGACTACGTAGGCAAAACACTAGCTTTCCTTAATTCAGGAAGCTACGATATTCTGCGGAATGATTCTTCAAGTATGTACCAGAAAAAGACAATAGTTATGACTGGAAAGAAAAATGCGGAGTATTGATCATAATTCCAAAACCAAACCACACCGGTGGTGTCATTTGAAATTTAAACCTATATCAATATTAAGCCGCGATAAATAATACTCATCAATCAGTGAATAATATTAAAGTTGAAATATGTCTTTATATCGAAGGATATATACTTTAGAAATCGAATTTCAATATTTTTCCATTTTTTCAATGTCACATCTGTAATATGGGAACCATGCAACTGAGGCATATTCCGGTGCTGATCTAACTAAAGAACAAATCCTAATATTTTGATTCCCTTTGCAGAAACATTATTGAAGTGTCTTTTGAATTTCAGTTGATGATCTGAAGTAATTTCAAGGTGTCTTATTTCGTTTACCCTGTCGAGTACTTTTCCATCAATATTATAGTCATAATAAAGGATATAAAGGATATTGTATTCCGCTTATTGAAACAATTTAACTGGTCGAGCGTCTCTTAGACAAAAACCATGTGAATCCACTAATAAAATAGGAAATTTCATATTCATCTACTAATTGTCTATCTCAAAATTATTTCCGATTCGACGAAAAGTTTTATTTATGCAGTGAAGAACTAATAATGGGTAACCCGTTGAGTCCTTTGCTAGCTGAAGTTTTCATGGAGAATGAAATCCATAGTAATCAGTTGAATAACAGATTCTTGTACTGGTATAGATACGTAGATGATATCTTAGTCTGTTTTACTGGAACAGATGAGCAATTAGGTAAGTTTGTCGAATATGTCAATTCCATTCACCCATAAAGTATTTTTTTACACCCGTACTCTAACAATATNAGTTCAATCATGAATACGACGTGTTACATTTAGAAGAGATAAGTTTGAAACTCAATCTTCTGGATATGCTTTTTATGATAAGTATAGTGTCGTTTTCTTTGTTTCTACAATAGATCTTGGTTGATTATTTCTTACGTTTTTTGGAGTTATTCATTTATGAAACGGGGAGTGCGTTTGCATGATATGAATTAAAAACTGAATTAATAGAAAGTAAGAAAAATATGGTTCTGGACTGTTTATTCTTCAACTAAACTCAGTGACAGATCAGTACCAACTGACGAACTAGGCGGGTATAACAGTAATATCGTAAAACAAAAACAATTGAAATAAAAAAAAATCCTTAAAAAGTCTCTAAAAAGAAAACAAATGACTTTAATAATTTTTTTTTTGATATTTACATTGTTTTCATGTAATGACCTAGAATACGATAATGAGCTACAAGTATTTCTTGTGTAATCAAACAAAGATAACTTATAAAAGATGATATTTCGAACTGATGTCATCGATTTATCAAATGTTGATTTCAAGGATATTCCCGGTGGGAGAAATTATGATTAATAACTAAAATACTGAAATCTATAACTGATTGAATGTGATTCTAAATAATATTCTCTTCTCATGTGTATTTCGTTTTTTGTAACTCTTTCTTTTAAAAGTGAATACAGTTATTTCATTGTTTTATGAATTGTACCTTGTATATAAAACTATTGTTGTTTCCAAAATAAAATGTTATGAACCCAAACTGAAAGTTTAAAAAAAATAATTTAGCATATTTCGGAACTACTAAGTTAACTGCCCATACCTAAAAGCTGTGTTATCCGATGTAGATGAATATTGTTCATATTTGTTATATCTATCTCACTTTTGAAACTTTTATCAGTCGGATGACGAATGTTTTGATTTCATGGCAGTGTGTTAAGTCATGTCTTCATTTTATCTAGTCTACGATATTCGGTTGTCCTTTCATGAACTCTGCTTTATAAAGTCCATGATCTGAACTAGAAATCGTGAACATGTCTGAAAAAGTTGTGTTTTTTTCAGGAAATTTGAATGGCCTTAATACTGAGGCAGTGGCATTAGAAGAAATCAAGAGATGGTTGGGGGAAGAAAAGCAAAACCTGCATGCACGTTTGGAAGACAAATATTTATTGACTTTCTTGCGGGGGTGCCACTTTGACTTGGAAAAAACTAAAACCAAAATGATCAACTATTACACGATGAAAAAGGACGAAGTAGTTTGGTATCGAAACCGGGATCCCAGTTTGGATGAAATACAGGAACTTGTGAAATTAGGGGTGTTCGTGCCTCTAAAAGAGTTGTATCAAAATCGTTTGGTGGTCATCATACGAACTGGTGCTCACGATCCAAAAAAGCATACGCAAGATAATGTATTCAGAGCCGGCCAGATGTTGACCGATATCACTACTTTTTTGGAGTATGACTGCAGCACGATCGATGGTATTATAGCGATATTCGACATGAAAGGTGTAACAGCTTGGCATGCTAAGCCACTGACACCCAGTGTTGTCAAGAGATCGGTGTTCGGATGGACAAATTATCTTCTGCCCCCGGATCAGTTTGAATTCGTGAACGCTCCGTTTTATTTGAATGTGATGATAAATCTTTTCAAGAGTTTTATGTCTGAAGAGATGAAGAGAAAAGTGAGAGTGCACAAAGGTCTGGATAGTTTTCATAAAGTTTTCGATAAGACAATCTTACCTGTGGAGTATGGCGGCAGTGGAGAGAGCTTGAATAGTTTGATCCTTTATTGGAACGAAAAGTTGTTGGGTAATCGTGATTGGCTTCTAGAAGACGAAAAATACAGAGCTGAATGAGACGTAAACAACTATCATAACTTTTATGTGTTCATCAAAATAGTGTTTACTCTGAAATTATTGTTTTAAAAACTGTTTTTGGTTTTATGCCGAGTTTCCATGTAAGTGAAGTGCTTCTGAAAATGATTGGCATTTGGCATAGATAGGGGAAGGTATAGTAAAGTGGCCACCCTAAGCTTTGAACCCACGCCAACCGAATAAATGTAAACCTTTTTACAGTTTGTTTGTTTATTATTATCCATGTAATTATTAAGTTTCGGTATTATACAGTGTCACTTTTTTATTTATCGTTTTATGTGAAATTTGATTTTGGCAGTAGATTTTGCTTAAGAAATGATGTCAAATGGCGTCTACAAAATAGGTCACGTGATTTCCTTAACCTGTCAAAATGGACATTTAAAAAAAGAAACATCGAAAAATGACATTATTCTTCAAAGTATCCAAAAATATCAAAGGATAAAAACATTTTCTTTTGTAATTTTATACCCACACACCAAGTTTCAAACCCATAATAAGTATTTTATATTTTCACTATTTTTCCGCATTCCTGCTTTTTCTACTTATCAAAATTTAAGCACACCTGTACTAAATCATTTATTTTAACTAAACTCGTCACCGAATTTCTTTTTTTGTAATATAATAATATTTTAAGAGCCTCTTTGATGTTAAAAACAAATTTTGAAAAATAAAAGTTGTCAAACTTGATGCAAAGTTCATCTAGTTTCAACGGGGCTTTC